TTACTGCGAGACATTTTTGCCTTCTTCAGCGTCGAACATGCCGTTGCAGATTTCTCTCCAACTGTTTGAAGACCTAAGATTGTTTTTTGTCAGCATCAAAATTGAGCAATTTTGGCATTTAAAAACAGAAAGAGAAATCGTGATGGGGTAATCCTTGGCCTTCATAATCACGGTAGCTTGATTTTCCAAATAATCCAATTTTATTTTTCATCATCAAAGATCTCTGCGCAGTTAAAGTCCACTCTTTCTTCGGTTGTTGGCTTTGCTTTTACTAGCGGTACGGTCAGGTCAAAAGAAGGTACCTGTGTCTCAATATGTACTTGTAGATGTGATCACCATTTTACTCAAACAACTAAGAGCCGTTGAGGGATTTTCCGATGTTTTGTGTAGCATTCTCGAGTCTCTTGATCCGCAATATCAAATTGATTTTTCGGATAGAATTTTTTAGTATGCATCCGATTCTGATTGTTTAGTGAAATTATCCGCTCGAACATTTTAGTTGCCGAAAACACGTCGGACTCGGTCATTTTTAAAAACTTTTCTGCATTTCTTTTATCGTTTTCTATAGTCTTGCCTAATCTCCTATATAAGAGAATTACGCTCATGTCGGATCTTCTTGGATCTGAGGTATTTCCAGGCATTTATTTTTAGTCATACAATATTCGATGTAGTATCATTGAATCGATTGGGAATGTAATATGCTCGCTATATGCAATCGAGTCTTCTTCTGAAGAATTGCAAAGACTTGTTTCGCCCTTTCTTCGAATACTTGAGGAAAGGTTTAAAGACAACAGCTCGTTTGTCAGGGCAAAGGTGTTGTCAACTCTATCTCTTCTTATTAAAAAGAACTTTGTCTTGTTCTCACATCGATTGCATATTTTGCAGTTATCAACTGATCGGCTTTCCGACAAGTCAATTATTGTCCGAAAAAAAGCGCTTCAATTGCTGAATGATATTTTATCGTTCCATCCATTTTCAATTGACGGCGGTGGATTATCCCTAACGGAATATACTGCAATGTATAGGCAAATCAGTAAATCGCTGCTTGTAACCCCCATTATACCTTGGTTTATTTTAGGAAAAATCTACTACCGATAAACTAGAAGCCGATGGCGAAATTCCAAGCTCCAGCATTGACTTTGACGATCCTATTGAAAATATGCCGGATGTTCCTACATCTGAATTGCTTGAACATGCCACAGGATCAGAGGAAGATGCTTCTTTTGCTGAACTGATTCTTAAGAAAAAATATTATTCAGATGGAATTCGATTTATAAAAGAATTCCAATCGGCCATTGAAATTGTTTTCCAAATCCTTTTTTCCTCTTCCAAATCTGAGGTGGTGGGCGCAATTGAGCTTACTTCTTTGTGTATATCATATAAGCTTGTAGATAAGAATTCGACGCTCAAAAGGCTCTTGTATTTGATTTGGTCCGTTGAGTCTATTGAAGGGTCTTCTAATATGGCGGAGGGCATTTTGAATCAAGGTTCTATTAAAGAGCATCTTTTGAACGCCTTTAGTCAGCACTTATTTTTTCGAGATCCAACGCAATCTGCAAGCGAATGGGCCAACAAATGCACTTGGAATTTACTATCATTTATAAGTAAAGGCTCGCTCTCGATTTCCGAATTCAAATCTCTTGAGAGGATACTTTGGCAACTGATGTCGAAAAGACATATGGCCCCAGAAATCGTTTCTCTGCTGTGGAAAATATTCGCGAACCCCAATGAACATATTTCTTTCCGAAGATGTGCAATACTTTTGTTGTCTTGCCTTGATCCCTCCTCAACTTGCCATGAAAAGATGCCGCTACTATTGTCAGTTGGTCTTGACCATAAAGGTTGTCGTTTCGACCCGATTTTGGTCTCTCAGACTTTGAAGTTCTTGTTAGCAAGTTATTCTTCCTGCAATGTTGCCTATAATACTCTATCTTCTAGCGAACCGCTCCCATCGATGGTTTGCGGTTTAATTCTTCATCTCATTTTTCTTACGCCCACAGTTGATTGTGGGACAATTTTTGAATTGCTCCAATCGGCTACCAGAGTTATTTTCAAATCCTGTTCACAGCCCGTAAATATCTTTAGTGTGCTGTTGAAAAAAATCATCCACATCTGTTCTTGCTCGATCGGCTCAAAAAAGACACACATCATTGTCTTTTCAAAGGTTCTGTTCCTGCTTGGCCAAGTTTGTATTCAATATGTAACGTATTTGGAATTTCTTGAACAAACTTTGACACAGCGGAAATCAGTAAAAAATGATGCAGAGATCTCCGAAGAGCGCAGGACGTCCATGGATTTGCAAAATATTTCTTTAGAAGAAGAGATCCGCGAACAGATCTCCTACTTGCGGGAAACGGCGTTTCTATTTGATAAAAGCTCGCTTTTGTCACACTTTATCCCGATGATTGCGGAGCTTTGCACGTCGGCTTTACAAAATGGAGGAAATGCAACATCTTCGCACAGGGAGTTATTTTTATCGGGAATGTTTTGTCTTTCTTCTATGATGCTGTCTTCGTCCAAATTCTGCCAATCTTACTTGAAAATTTTTGTCCAACTGTTGCTATCTCCAGGAATCGATGCCATCGTCAGAGCAAATCTAGTTGTTGTATTTGGCGATTTGATTTTAATTCACGGTGCCCATTTGGATCACTCGCTCAAGTATCTATTTGAAACGCTTTCAGACTCCTCGTGTGTTGTCCGCACCAATGCAATTATTGTTATCAGCCATTTAATCATAAATGGAATCATAAAGGGTAAAGGGTCTCTTGCAGATCTCTGCCTATGTCTGGTTGATGACAACTCGAGCATTGTGAACTTTGCCAAAATGTTTTTCTCCGAATTTTCAGCAAAGGATCATTCACTTTTTAATGCTCTTCCAGATATGATATCCTGCCTGTCTTCCGATGAAAGGATAGACTCCATAAAGTTCAAGGCAATTATGCACTTTCTTTTAAACTTTATCGACAAGGTATTCCATTTGGCATTCGACATAACTTTAATAGGATAAGCACATTGAGTCTGTGATTGAAAAGGTGTGTTCACGGTTCCAGCTTGCAAGGACGCCTGCTCAGTGGTCGAATTTGTCCTTTTGTCTTTCGCAGATAAACATTAATACCGAAAAATCAGCAAAGAAAATCATCCAGGCGTTGCCATATTATTATGATAAACTGCCTGATGGAAATGTCTTTGGAAACTTTAAAGAGCTATTGGCCAAGATGAAAAAGGTCCAGAAGCCGTCTGAAGAATTCAGAACAAGTTTGGAGGAATACGAAAAAAGCTTGGTAAAGTACTCATGCCAAACATTGCCCACTTTGCCTCTGTTTTCTGAAGATCAGCTAGCGGATTTAATACCGTCAAATTGACGGAATGTCGCCATCTATTCTATATAAAACGATGCCAGAAAAAAATTGCCTTTTAAGCATTTCATATGATAGGCTTGTTGTTATCCTTCAGTTTAAGGTTGGTGATTATAGCCTGGGTTAGGGTTGGCGATTGTAGGGTTAGGGTTTGTGATTATAGTTTAGTTTTAGCAGTATTTTTGAACCTTTGTTTTAATCTTGTCATCAGTGTCTGCTATCATGGCTGTGGTTGCTAAAAAGCGAAGCTCAGACATTAACTCCCTTTCTTCCAAACAATTAGGCCAGGTTGCTGATTTTTTAAAATCATCTGTTCCCATCTATGATGCAATTTCTATCGAGCGAAGGGTGGAAATATTTTCTGGAAGGGAGGCTGTTTCCATTCTACTTGAATCTTCATCAAGCGGCAATAAAAAAAAACCCTTTCCCCTTGATTTTGCCATAACTTCTCCAGACCACGCAAAACAGCTGCTACTAATGCTGCTAAAAAACGGCTATTTCATCAAAGCAATGGTCAATGGAACAAAAGAAATACCTCTGACCCCGATGCAGCAAGCAATGATACGTGCCGAGACCATCTCGGGAAATCAATCGCCAAATGTTCAATTGCCAAAGCCAGAGGTGATTTACTTGGTTAGTCCAGACCCTTCGGTTTCTTGGTCTGAAGACACAAAGTTCATTTGGATTTATGAGGGATCCAAGCTGTTTTCCACCATGTTGTCTTTTGGGATTCTTATACTTCTGTTTTTTGGAATAATGTACCCACTTTGGCCGTACCAACTAAGATTGGGGGCCTGGTATCTGACGATGGTTTGTATTGCCCTCGTGGGTCTTTTGCTACTTGTCTCTGTTATTCGACTTGTTTTGTATCTATTGTGTTTAATTGCGGGGCTTCCCGGATTTTGGATCTTTCCAAATTTATATGAAGATTGCGGATTTTTTGAATCCTTCGTGCCGTTGTATGGTTGGGATTCGCCGCCACAGCCTAAAAGCAAACAACAATAAAGTTAGCAAACTTTAATTATTGAAATTTAACCCTGGCACTAATGAAAAGGGCAAGTGCTTATCAAATCACCCAGCTCGCACCAACGGAGGAAGATGTCAGGCCGTGTGAAAACTCTGGCTCTGAAGACGAACAAGCAGAAGAGGAAGAGGTAGGAAATCGCATGTTTTGAAGTTAGATAAAAAATAGCATCAACCCATCGCTGCTAAAAAGCAGAAAGTATGTGCCACCTTTACCATTTAACTGTAGGATTGTCAAGCCCAGGAGATTTTTGGACAATTCATTCAAAAACACCGCGGAAAAAATCTCGTTTAAACCTTTCGCCAAGGGTATGGTGCAAACATCTCAAACTTCCAAGCCTGATCTGAAGGATGCTCCCACTGCATTTGATGCCCCGCTTCACATTCATGGCCTTAATAAGTGTTTTCTTGAACACATCGAAAAGACCTTTAAAGTGAATCCGACAGGAGACCTGTCTGGTACTTTCGATACATACAGAAACCATCTCCAAGAGATTATGTCCAAATCCCAAAACGGAAATCTGGATTCAAAGTCGCCGGCTGTCCTTCAAACGACCGATTTTAATGAAAACATCAACATGTCCGTCCAAAGGGAGGGGCCGGCCACTAAAAATGATTCTAAATCTCTGCTTTCTTTTAATACTTTGGTCGATAAGCCTGCTAGTAATTTTTCTTTCTTATCTCCAGCATCTGCCTCCACGGTTTCCAGTGAGTTCACTTCGGAAAAACCCCCCTTTTCGTTCGCATTGAACGCATCTGAGCCTGCACAAAAACCCTTTTCATTTATGAAGCCTTCTTCTGAGGCAAAGAGTCTATTCTCTTTGCCGTCCTCGACTTCAGCTTCTGGCTCGATTTTTTCGTTTCTAACTGCCGACAAGCCAGATTTCTCTTCCACAGAACAAGCAAAAAATGCGGAACTTGAAAAGGAAGAAACCGGCCATGGCGAGGAGGAAGAAGATGAGCCCGTTGTAATTGAGGAGGTTGACCCATGCGTCAAAGGTCCTGGAGAAGAATCGGATACTGTTATTTTTGCACTCAAATGCAAGGTTTATGTGATGGCCTTAAGCCAGTCCGACAAAACATGGCAAGATCTTGGAGTTGCTTCACTGCGTATCAACGAGACTAGCTGCCCAGATTCTGCACCCAAACAAAGAATTATTGCAAGGGCGCAGGGGTCGACATCAAAGTTGCTTCTCAATTCATATGCTTCTGGGATTTCCTTGATGCCACTGAAACCATCCGAAAAGAGCGTCTCGTTTATTAGCCTGAATCCAGAAGAGAAGCTTACCTGCTACTTGATCAGGGCGAAAACGGAACAATCGCTGCATGAGCTCTATTCACATCTAGAAAAATATTCACGAAAAGAGCTCGCCACATAAAATAAACCGGTCACTTGAACGTGCATGGTTACGGCCACCGTTGTGCGCCCGAAAACGCACCATAAAAGTCGATGCGCGCATGAACTTTGTGTGATGTAATTTAAGGATTGTTTATTAAAAAAGAGGATCATTGGAAAAGGAGGAAAAGATTTTGTCGTCCTCGAGCGACTTGATGCCTTGCTGATGACGAGGGGTGCCATTAGACTCAAACCTGCGTCTAAAAGGCGCTTCACTTCTATCGTTGTCACTGTACCGGCTCCTTGTTGCAGAAGACGAGGAATGTTGGTTCGAATTTGTACTTTGCGAGCCAGAATCGCGAAACTCTCGGCTCTCCAAGCTTCCCTCTGAGCGGCGTGTATTCCTACGAGTGGTGGAACGTGAAGAGTATGCATCTCTTTGAGCTTCGGACGATTGCTTTCTCAGAATGGAACCCTTAAGGATCTTGAAAATGGGATGGTCTCGTGAAATTCTATCAAAGTTTGAAAGCGCCTCGAGCAGGCGCTCTGAAAAATTCTCCAAAAGAAGAATCCTTCTTTTACAAATAAAATTTACAAGACTCAATGTAAGCCTTACATTTTTTGTATGAATGGCAGCCAACATGACAATGTATATGGAACTGGGTTTTGAGAAAATTTGTGTCTTGTCAACCAAAGCCCAAATTTTGATGATGTCCTCCCAACATTGGGATGAATAAAAATGCCTGATGATGCTGGCCAGGACATCCACGTTAAATGCATTGATTTGATTGGCATGCATGTGCCCTAAGATCGAGTTGACAGAGATTGGAAGACTAGAAGAAATACCATGCAAGCTGGGATGAATTTCATAGCTGGACTTGGTGTCATCGATCTTGGCCCAGCTATTGAACAGGCTAGAAAGAAAGGATCGTGTCTCGTATGAAATGCTGTTTGAGAGAAGAAAATTGAGAACGGACGAATATATTTCAATGGTAAGCGGCACTTTTTTGTCGATCAAAACATTCAAAAATTCGGAAACCTTTTGCGGAGCAAGCGAAGTAGCGGCCTTAAAGTAGAGCGCAAAAACATCCGAATTTCCTTCCACATTCGGATGCGCCTCGGTGAATTCCGAAAATATGTTCATCAGCTCCTTTTGGTTTTTGACTTTGAATCCATAATACATGAGGAAGGAGCAATATATTTGCTTTGTCGGTTCAAAGCCCTTCAAAAGTTTCAAATCGTTGTAAGTGGACACGGCCTCTTGGAGGAAGCCGTTTTTTAAAAGCAATTGGATAATCATCTCGTAATGGTGATGCTTTGCTTCATTTTTAGAATGCAAGTCGGCCATAAAAGACTTTAATTCGTCAAACTCCTTGGCTTTGATGGTGGCATACAAGAGCCAATAAGTGGACCTAAGGTCGACTTCATCTGTAGTCTTGCGTGCAATGTAGATCATTTTGACGTTGTGGAAGGAATTTGGATATTCTGCGAGCAGACTCATCAACATATTGAAGATGGAAATCGGAACGGGAATCCTATTGTTTTCCAGGAATTCCAACAACAGGCGATAATATCTGATGCTTTTAAACCGATAGAACATCGAAGCAATGCGATAGTACAACTTTGCATCTACGCAAGAGTTTTCTTCCTTGTAGAGATTATATATCGTTTTAACGCACTCCACAAATGTCGTTCTATGAGGGCGGTTAAAATACTCCGAAGGCTTTAAGTAAATATGTGCAACCTCGTCCACCATCAAAGCATCCAGTGATGTCATTAAAAAGGTCAGATAAAGATTGGCATCGGGCTTGAGCCCTGCCTTTTTCATCTCAACAAGCACTTTGGATGACTGTTGAAAGTGGTTAAGACGAGTGAACTTGTGGAAATAATCGCTCCAGTCATCTGCAGACGCAGAATTTGCTTGTGTACGCAAAAAGCTTTCAAATGCTTGAGAAAGGGTGAGCCTTTTATCTTCTCTCTGAGCCTCAATACCAATCGATGCACTGTGTGCGAGAGCGTGAGGCTCTTCGCCTTGAGCCTCGGGCGAGTCAGCGTCAAATTGTAGGACATTGACGTCAACAGAAGGGCCTTTACCTTCAAAGGATAGTTCTGGGCGCTGAAAAGTGCCTTTGGAAAATTCGCAATCATCAAAAACGGGCTGCTCCAAGAATTCGAGGGATTCGGGTTGCATCTCTGCTCTTGATGAAAACGGTAAATTAATGGCAGATGAAGAAAAGACATATCGATTGCCCAATTTGCCGCTGATTTTGGCTGATTTTCCCGCAAACGATAGAAGCCCCCGAAGTTGGTTCATGCTTTACGTACAGATAGTCAAGTAAAATAAATTGCAACTAGCGGTGTGATCCGCGAAAGGGTAAAATTTAATTTAACAGGCGGATTGTATGGGCTCGCCCACGGAAAGCGCAAATTCACCCTTTGCTGGCCTTTCTATCTCTTCACATGATGTGTTACGGGGGGCAGTTCGAGAAAGATGCCCAAAATGCTTGACGTATTCAAAGTACTATTGCTACACATGCTTTTCGCTGATGCCCTCTATCCCTTGCGACAGGATCCCCAAGGTATCTGCTTCAAAAGAAATACTTGTATGGAAACATCCGAACGAAAACATTGCAAAGTGCACAAGTGTCCACGCCCTTTTACTTTTCCAATCTTCCGTACGAATGTTCCAACACCATCCGACGTTTCACGACGCTGCACAGCTGCGTGAACATGTGCCGAACCCTAATGAAACCATCATATTGTATCCCTCGAAAGAGGCGCCGTTCATTGGGGATATCGACACTAACTCATACAAGTGTGTTGTTTTTCTCGAGTCTTCTTGGGCACAATCGACTACCATGTTTAATGCGATTACTTCCGCATGTCCAGGTATCCGGACCGCACAATTAGACCTCACCAATACCTTCCTGAAACGCGGCACGCTCTTTTGGAGATACCAGAATAGGGGCGAATTTTGTCTGAGCACCATTGAGGCAATATACTTGTTTTGCACGCAGATCGATGTGTTGTCAAACTGTGACAATGCTCTGTATTTTTTCTCTTTTTTCTATCATTTAATCCAAGAGCATTACGGTAAACTGGGTCGGGGCTTCTCTGGTAAACATAGACTCGGAAATTCGTATATCCAATTCAAAGAAAGTTAACCTTTATTTTTATACACAGCATCAATTATTGACTTTCAAGAAAAAGAGGATGGATTTCAAAAATGCCTTGCACGCCGACCAAACCCCGGAAAGACCTCCTGGAACTGCACAGGCTATCCATAGAAATAGACCTATGGACTGTAAAACAGCCAATAAAAGCGAACTCAGATAGGTCCCGTGCACAAAGGAGGAATAAAAAGAAAGGCATAGCAAAAGGGAATTAAACAGGCTGATCACCAGGCAGTTTGTCTTTGAAAAGAACATTTTCTGGAACCTTTTAAATCCGGAGAACACCGCGATTCCAGAAAGAATCAAAAGCTCAGAAATGTCTAAAGGCAAAAGAAAAGATCGAGGAGACAAAGCCGCAAATGGAAGGTGAAACAGGGCATAGATGACAGAGAAAAAGGAAAGGAAAAACAGGATTGCCGATAACGCATATCGCTCAAATGACGACAACGGAGATTTTGATGTGAAGAAGATGGAGGACGAGCCTTGAGATTCGATGTCGAATTTGGAGGTCGATGGGACAAAGACCCGAAAATGCTTATTCATCAACACGAAAATGGAATCTGAAATTTTATTCGCATTTTATTTGTAAATTCAAATTATCAAAAGGCGCATTCGAGGCAAATTGTGGCGGCGTGCAAGTTCAAAGGATGGAAGCAATCCACGAGATGTAATCCTCCATGACCTTTTGCTTGATGATGTCGTTGTGAACTAGAATTTTTAAAAACTAGCACGAATACGCTCATGAAAGCCATCGTTGTAAATTTTCAACACCTTCATATGAGATGGAATTTTTTCAAAGAACAATGTTGACGCAATGTGGCTAAATTTTTAAAGGCGAGTTGAACCTTGTCATGTTATCTCCAGTGCCATGAGCAATTAGAAGAGGGATTTTGATGCAAACCACATCCATTTCTTCCAAGTCTCGGCCATACTTGAGGATTTCAGCGGCTACCTTTTAAGCAGTGCAGTGTGTTACCCAACGCAAGAGAAATCCTGCTATGGCAATTGGGATCGTTTTTATAATTTGCAACAGCATCAGGATCTCTGGAAATGTCGTAAGGATCTTGGTTGTTATTAAAAGCACACAGTACCCAATCCGTTGTGGATTGTAAGTTTATGAACTGCCTTGGATAGCAAAGTGCCGGCAATTTCCTTTATCCGTGAGATCTTTTGAGCTGGTTTTATGGCGGGAGCTACCATTAAGGTGCAGGAAGCCTACCTGAAGAAACCACTGCGGAAATATCCGCAATGCACGCAGATGGATGTAGACAATAGGCGAGCACAATCAATCCGCCCATTGAATGTCCAAACTATCGGTTGGAAAGCCAGAATGTTACCAAGATGATTGGAATCGCTGGAAGATGTTCTTTAAGTGCAAAAATGGCATTATTGATTGCACCAAACAAGCCTTTAAATCCAGATTTGCCGACATAGCCTACGTTCTTTGCATTTGCGCCATGTCCAGGCAGGTCAAAGCCGGCAATCCCAATCCGACTTTTGATTAGTTCGTGACCAAAAAAATTGGCATATCTGCCAAAGTGTTCCCCTAACCCGTGAACGACAAGCACAACGGCTTTAATATCTTCCACATCCTGTATTTAATGAAAATATGGTACCGATAATTGAAGTATAACGGCGGGCCCGTCTGTTCCGGGAACACAAAAGCTCTTTAAGGGAACAGTGGTGATCATGATGCGTAGAATATAAAATTTTTAATTGGTTTACTGAATTATTAGGCGGGTGCTCTCAATTCCCTGAGGGTTTTCTTGGGGTCATTTTGGTCGAGTTTGCCGCAGTTTTCATTGGGAGAACATACCATATTAAGTACGACAACCTTTTTTGTATTCTCTTCTGGTGGAGTATACTTCTTTTTACTAGCCTCTTCAGTGGTTTTGTCTGCAATAGTTGTGAAAGCTTCTTGAGCCGTTTTTCGGACACTTCTTTCAAGAAGCTCAAGGCCATCCTTTCCTTTTTGTAGGTCATCTAAATGTTTTTGCAGGACTCCTTTAAGTGTATTAAGCCTTTCCTGGAACTTTTTGATTTTATTTTTGTTCTTCTTTATCATATCATTGTTATCTTTTATACCGTTTTCGTCATCGATAGTTTTTTTTCCAGTATCTTCTTGCATTTTTTCGGCTGTATCTATGTCCGAATTAAGCTTATTTAGTCGGTCCTCTAGATCTTTGACCTCTTTAGCTGCGTTATCCATCTTTTTCTGAAGGACTGCTGAATTAGCGTTGTTTTTATTCATGTCTTCACGCAAGGCCTTGCTTTTTTGTTCAGCTTCATAAATCTCCCTTTTTAAAACAGCAATGGCGCCATTCGTATCCTCAATACCTTTTTTAGTATCTTCAATAGCAGCTTGAGTTTCCCCAACCATAGTCGCTGTATTCTTAACCATGTCCTCAAAGTTATTATAGTCATCTTTTGTTTGCTGATCGAGTTCTGAGGACTTAGACTTATTATCTATTTGTCTAATTACCACTTCATCACCTCGTGTATCGAAGGAAGTTCTTCCATAAACTGAACAACTATATATAATTGTAACCACAAGAACAATAAAAGGGATCTTCATGATCTTTGTCACAGGAATAAGTGAATAAAGTTATCAATCATTCTTATACATCCCCGATATTTTATTCAATTCGGTAAGCAGAATCCCAATCGAATATATAGCTCCTATTTATTGGGCTAGTCCCATTCCATTAATGTACATGGTAAAGCTGCCTACTTGTGATCATTGGTCGCCACAGCACCAAATGGGCAAACAAACGAAAAGAATGAATTTTAATACAAGATTTAAATTTTATAAATTTTATTCGATTGCACATCTAAATTCATGCAAAACGCAGAAAGTAGAATTTGGGTGTTTGCAGCGGCGAATCGGGAACAAAGCCGGCAAATTCAAGGTCATTCCTGAAAGAAGAGAGGATGAAGGAACCCTCTACAGGGAAAATCCTTAATACTTGGCAGCCAAGGCATTTTTCTGCCAGCTCTACGAGGGAAAGTATAAACCCAGATAACTTTTCCCGTTCCCAAGATAAATCGGTAGGCACAAAGATATTAAGCGTTTTCTCTTTGTCCACAATAGAAGTCAGGCCAAAAATAGAGGTGTAAGATTCCCAAAATACATTAGACGCAAAGTGGAAATAAACCCTCTCAAGTGGGGATGAGATCGTGCTGGAGAATTCAGAAGAAAGATTTCCGATGGTAGGAAAACAGGCCATTTGCTTAGAAAAAGTCGAAAACGGCAAAGAAACATCAGGAATACCACCCGAAACTTTTACCCAGAAGGAATAGATAGTTGTCCTTATGACCGTTCGAAAGATTCTCTACAGAGCAGCAAGACAGAGATTCGTATGAGTTGGACGGGATAGGTTTCGGGGAAGGGCTTGATGGCTTAAGCGAAGATTGTAGACAGCATGCGGACCGGGCGTAATGGATGGAAAACATGATTTGAAAAATTGGGTGTTTGACTTTTGATTAAAAGGCCAAATTAAGCTCATTGGTGCAAACGATCTGCTTTGTAACTTGTACAAATGATCCGCCTTGTAAGTTGTACAAATTTTATTGAAATAAAAATTAACTTTTGTCAACTTTAATATTTTATGTCCTCATTAAAGTCATCCAAAGACAAAGCTCTTGTCGATTATTCCAAGACGCTGATACTTTCTTCGCGCGGAATAATTTCTAGGTATTTCTTGTGGCTAATCATAGACATCGGCATTTAATGTTGGACATAATTTCTTTAATTTCCAATTCAAAAAAAGAGTCCAAATTTGACTCGAAAAAAGATCTAAGCGACATCCTGGAAATTTGCGAACTCAACGACTGCAAAAGGGTGCTTTTCTTCGAGTCAAGAAGAAAAGAAGATCTTTATCTATGGATTGCAGATGTAAATAATAGCCCTTTTTTGAAGTTTTACGTTTCTAATGGTAAGTGGTGCCCCCTCCCCTTCCCTTATTTTATAGTTCATACCATGGACGAGCTATCGTTTACCGGAAACTCTGTGCGCGGAATGTGTCCAATTTTGTCTTTTGACTCGAATTTTGATACCATCGACCATCTAAAAGGCGTCAAAAGCGCCCTTCTTCATGTATTTTTGTAACGCTCACATTTAGACTTTTGGCTTGTCGACGGACCATTTTAAAGCGATCTCGAAAACCGAAACAGACAGGTTGTATCAAATTACATATCTCGACGGGAAAATATGGTTTCGAAATTACCAGGTTCTCCTTCCAAACATTTTACCCCTTTAGATTCTAAAAAAGGAAGACGGCGAGGCCGACCTTGTTGAAATTGGCCCAAGATTTGTTTTAACGCTGCTCAAAATTTTCAAGTCAGGCTTCCATGGACCCACTCTTTATAACAATGAGACGTTTATTACGCCGACGAGCGTACAGGCTTTACTCCGCCAGCGAGGAATCATAAATTCACATCCAGACCGCTATTTGCAATCAAAGCGTCTTGATGTACCGAGGATTCCCGTGGATCCTCTGGAGTCCGTATTTGCCGACAATGCTGGTATATCGGCCTCAGATTAACTATTCTCAATAAATTATATTTATTAGCTAACCAAATCGAATGGAATGCACACCGGTGTCAATAAATCCACCGCGATATGAACCCTTCTTCTTTTTGTTTTTTTCGTAGCGAAAGTCTCTTCCGCGGGTTGCACCCAAGTCAGAAAATGCCTTGTCCCCATATGAAGTGGTTGGATCCTTATACTGAGAAAATGTTTTAACATCATCAGAATTTATGAGATTTGGATCTACCCTTCTAAAAGGTGCCCCAGTTGTCTTAAGTGGAGAGAAGTAATCCTCAGAAACATGGGCGTGGAGTTCTTCCCGACTTGTGATTACCTCATCTATCTTGCTTAAATCAATATTTTTGCCCTTTAGTTCGCTCTCTTGAGAAATTTTGATTTTTTTACTCTTTTTCGAATCTCGGCCTTTTTTTCCATTTTTTGAATCTTTTGAGGATTTGTTCTGATTAGAATTCATGTTTTCTTTTGACTCCTTTGAAAGCTTATTTTCTTTTGACTCCTTTGAAAGCTTATTTTCTTTTGACTCCTTTGAAGACTTATTTTCTTTTGCCTCGTTTAAAAGATTGTCTTTTTTTGATCCTTTTGAAGACTTATCTTCTTTTGACTCTTTAGATATTTCATCGATATGTATTTTTGTCTTTTTGGCTTCTTTTGGCTTTGTATCTTGGTTGTGACTTTTAAGCTTTTTATCCAATTTCTTATCCTTTGACTTGACATCCATTACACTATCCTTCAACAGTTTATCCACTTTGGGGACCTTATTACCATCTTTCTGTGTAATTTGGCTCGTCTTTTCTTTTTTTGAGGACCTTTTTGGGACCTTGACATCCTGTGTTGCTGACTTGACGGCTTTTGTAGATGTCATTAAAAAAAGAATAAATTTGAAATTTATTTTTCAGGGCTAAATTTTACTCCGCATTCTTATTGCACGTACTTGATGCACGGTTCGTATGAAAACCTGGAGGAGCAACTGGACGAAAACGAGGATATTCTTATTTCGGCATTGAATTTCCAAAAGGCTGACAGGCTCCATGACGCCATGAAATACCTCAAAAAATCACACGAAAAATTGGTTAAACTGGGGCAATTTATGGATAGTTCCACCCGACCCATCAGTCCCACAATCCCCACAAAGGGTGATAAGAAACGAGCATCTGCCAACCACATTGTATATCTGTAAATATTAGCATACTGTTTGCAATTAGCCCAGACTATTGACGGGATTATTAAAAAATTTATACAATCAAAATGTCCAGCACTGTTCCACGCTAGTAGCCCACTTGAACTTCTCCCTTAAGGTTTTTGAGAATAGCTTTTCCAGCGGAACATCGTACTTTTTGCACCAAGCTACCGTTATACGGGGGTCTATGTAGTTTAGCTTTGAAGTTCCAAGAGCCGTTTGCTTATTTTCGTCCTAAAATAAATAACACTGCAAACCTTATCTAGGATGTTGTTTTTTAGCGTCAAAATCCGGCCACCTAAAACTTCCAACTTTTTGACAAGCTTTTCAGTAGAGTATGTATGGATTTTCTTCAAAGAATCCGACTCCTGAGACGAGTCAAGAGAATCCCCATTTTCTTCTTCAGACTTGACTTCAGACTTGGCTTCGGACTTGACTTCGGACTTGACTTCGGACTTGACACAGTCTTCTCCGGAAGAAGAAACCCCAGATTCCTCATTTGATGAAGAAGATGATGAAAGCGACTTGCAATTCCTGCTTTCTAATTCTCGTTTAATATACCGGCGTTCTGCCTTGATAACCTTCAATCGGACATGTAGTCGATCCATCACAGCCGAATGAGATTTAGAAACCGTTTTTTGATGGTTGCATAAAACAGCGACTTGTCTATTTGCCCTATTGTATGCAAGAATCTTTTCAGACATTGTTCCAACAGCAGGTGTGTTTTGCAGTTCTTGTTGAAACGTATAGGAGGCATTGTAGGTACGGAAAACCTTTGCAGAGAGTCCAGGCATAAGGCCATTCAAGTATTTATTTACCATGGATGACTAAAACATTAACGTGAAAAATCTTACATTCAAATCTTCAAACAGCGGGTCGTGTCTCTGTTTTTTGGCCGATGTTGCAAATGTCTTTAAATTTTGGAAAATCACTTTGGGAACAGCGACTTCATTATAATAGCGGATTGAGTCTTTACCAAGAAAGTCAAATATGATGAAATATTGCTTCTGTTTCCGATTCTCTGGGTCTGGTTTGATTTGAAACGAGATATGTTCGACCCTTAAAGAGCAACAGCCAACAGTATCGGCCTCATCCTCTCCCTTTTCATTTCCGGCTCTCAAAGCCAAACGGTCTATAAGCCAAATTGCTGTGGCTCGTTGCTTGACAGGCATGGCATCGTCCAAAAGCTCCGCTTCGATTTTCTTACGAATAGAAGCCACACAAGACTTTAACTCTCGTGCTTTTTCATATTTTTTTAAATCAGACATCCCTTTTAGCTTGGAAGACATTGAGAGAAAGACATATTTGGCATTTCCTGAGATGGAGTCATGCCAAGTTGCGAGCCATGTGACTGATGGGTCGCAAATGATATTTCCCCATGCATGCCCCTCAGGAGCTTGTGGGACTGGTGCTGCATAGCCAAGGTTGAGCGTTATATCTTCAGGAACAACTCGTTTCTAAAGGTTATAAAATAAAATCACACGCCTTTAAGCTTCCCATCTTTGGGTGCTGGCCTCTTCCCCTAAACAGACCAGGAGGTTCAACTCTGAAGTTGCCAATTTTCTCTTTTTTCCCGTCCAACAAGCAATATCCATACCGCTCGACAAGCGCATCATTGGCCTTCTTTTCCTCAAGCTTCTCCTCCTTGGTGCGATTTTTTTTTTGTTCCCTAAGCTGTTGGATATATTCAAATATTGGAGAAAAATCACAATCTTCGAAATTGACAACTAGCTTCCCATAGGGTGTATTTTCAAGAGACCTTTTTAGCTCATTGAAAAAATTATTAACAAAGATCGGGTTGGATTCGTATTGAGAACCAATAACACCGGCAAAAAACGTTGCAAGCTCCTCTGCCTCAGGGGGGAGATCAATATCCATGCCTTTATATTTCAATTTAACCCCATGTGGCACATAGGCCGGGGGGAAGCAAACGCCATTATGTTCTAGGGTCTCCCAATTGCAGGATTGATTTTCAAGGCTTTCAGATAGCCACCATTGGTCTTCCTCATCCTCCTCAACAGAACCCTTATTCGCTTCTGAGTCGGATTCCTGCTTGACAACATAATCTTCAGATTTGATTTTTTTGGCAATAGATCGGTCTTTTTTTGATTTCATCCCGGTACATACGTCATTCGATTCTGAGGATGTCGTTTCCGTCTTAACCAATTTTTTTCCTTTTCGCTTCAAAGAACTTGGCTGTGGTTTTGTTGATGTCTTTTTAAGCAACTGAATTAGAGGTACGTCGTCATCGGCGTCATATCGAAAAGTTTCTGAGATAG